CCTCCGTGCGGTCTGGCCGGAGCGCCTCATGGCAAGCGCGTTGCCACTGCTGCCGGGCCCTTTCGGGATCGGCAAGTTCCATAGGCCCGCGGGCCGTGGCTAGTATTGGGCCACCCGCAGCGCGTTGATCGCGGCCCTCCGCGCGCTCTAAGAGTCTAAGAGGAACAGAAAGCTCGAGTCGAACCACTTGGCCCAATGGGCGGCTCGCCAATCTGGGGGCTCACATTCTTGTCGCAAGCGACAAATTTCCTGCGCGCGTGCTGCCGCTCGGAACCCTTCTGCTGGAGGAGCTTCCCAATTGGACACCCTGCTCTTCGCGGCGTCGACCAAGGCCCGGAGGTCGTTGAAGTCGAGGGCGCAGCGCGTGCGCTGCAGCTGTCCGAGGCCCCGCCATGCGTCTGGGTGTTAACAATCCACAGGGGCCAGGCAGAAGATGGACGAACAATCTGCGTTCGTGGACCTCCCATGCGTTTGGGGCGTCATCTAGCTGTTCGACACATGACACCACAGGCGGTAGGTACTTGCTGTACGCCGCCAAAGAAACGGTCATGTCGCCCACGATGGTCCTCCAGATTTCTGCGCGCTCATCGTATTCGCGAAGCGCCCTAACCCAAGATTTGGCCTGCCGTTCAGGCGCGATGACGAAACCGAGACACACCGACAAAGGGACTTTGTGAAATCCCCCTAGGCAGGAGCGCAAGCACATCATCGAGCGCGTTCCGCCTCCACGTCCACAAGATATAACGGGATCCGCTGAGACTTCCGATGGTGCAGCTTCAAGCCAGAAGCGCGGGCATACGCGTCGAACATCGGCTCCAGAACCTGCAATGCGCAACGGAGAGGTCGTCAGCGCCTGCTCGCACCAATGCTCTCGGCGAGGCGCGGGCTATTAGCCGAAGCACGATATCGCCGGCCACTGCGAACAATAGCGGCGATAACGGGCAACTTTGCTGGATGCCCGAATCCATCCTGAAACCGTCAAACCTGGCGCCGCCGACATAGATGATGCAAGTCGTGTGCCGATAAGCACATTTTCGTGCGCATCCCTTCGTGCGCCCCCTATCCGGGTGACGAGGTAACCATCTCGCGTTCGGCTGTTCCAATGAGCATGGCCATCCTTGCTTCGCACGCGGCCGAGGGAGCTCACCAACGGAAGATAAGCTACAGTGGCAGAGCATGCTCAGCACAGGTGCGCAAGTGAAATGGAATCTCCTGGTTATCGCGTACATTGAGCCTTGGAATGCCTGGCGAGACGAAATACTTGAGTTTACTGCACATTCCCTCGGTGACACACAAGTGAACGTGTGCTACATCTACCACCGTGCCTCTGGGCACGGAAAGGGCGTGTCCGCAGGTCCGTTGCCTAATCCTCTAAGCCCCGCTCCTGAGACTCTTAGGAACCCAGAGCCCAAATTTCTGGCCCAAGAGGGCCCCGAGACGGGCCGAGAGGCCCTGAAGACAGCCCAAGAGGGCCCCGCCCGAGTCGCCGAACGATCGCTCCAAGACGCAGAAGATTACCCCAATGCGGCCCAAGAGGGCGTCAAGACACCCCAGTAAGCCTCAAAGAGGCCTCCCAAGAAGGCCCCAAGAGGCCAAAGGTATTGATGTTCCCTGTGCGTTTTGGAAGTTGTTGACCTTCTCGCCTTTTCGGCTTCCTGACGCGCAAGCACGGCCCAAGAGGCGCCAAAGACCACCCCAAACAGGCCCAAGGGACCTCCAAGAGGGCCCCAAGACGGCCCACGAGCGCCCCAAGACGGCCCATGAGGACCCCAAGACGGCCCCAAGAGGGGTCCAAGAAAGGGAGCACGAACCAACAATCCGAGCCTTCCACCCTGCGAGGCCCCAAGAGGCCCCCAAGAGGCTCCAAGAGGCCCCAAGAAACCCCCAGGAGACCCCAACAAGGCGCCAAGAGGCCCCCTAACGGCCCCCGAAAGGCCACCCATGAGATCCCAACGAACACCCAATAGGTCTCATACCCATACTTAACCAAGGCACAGTTGCGGGATGGGCCAAGGGCCATTCGATAATTACACCGGAATCAGTGAGGCTATAAACTGCCAGACACATGCTCGCTAGATCCAATGCAGCCTAAAGCCAAATGGCTACGTAAACGCGTGGCAACTCAACTCGATCCCTAGCAGATACAGCCAAAACAAATCATCGTGGAGTAGACGACACCAGGAGGAGAGAGAAGGAGAAGGAGGAGAAGGCGGAGACGAGAGTGGACGAGTACGGGGGGGAGGGGGAGAGCGAGGGAGGAGAAACGAGAGGGATGAGGGAGGAGGAGGAAGAGGAGGAAGAAGAGGACGGGGATGTCCCAGGGATGAACAAACTGGGAGCAGGAGAAGGGAGAGGAGGAGAGGAGGAGGAGGACCAGTGGAAACCCAAGAGTCATCAACGATATTGGAATTCACCCTCCCTCCAAGCTCCCTCTTCATAGACCCCTACAACGGCTCATTTCCATTTAGGGAACTGCATTGTTGAAAGACAATAGTTTGAAGATCCTGAAACATGCCAAAACAGGGTTCTCGGGACTTCAACGCCAAGCATCAACCCGACTGCTGCGTCTTGACGATCCAGAACCGTGCCATAACGCCAGTTTTTGGAACTTCAACACAGCGAATCAACATAACTGTAGCGCCCGCATAATCGTGATCCTTCCCAAAACACCATTTCCGGTACGTTGATCATGGGAATGCGCGCAACTCTTGCAATATGCTGACACGAATATGCGCGGCGCTAAGGCGAGAACCACATGCTGAAAAGGAACCACCCTCAATCCGTGAAGCTCTTGCATTTGTTAGACGAATGTGCGCCGCGCTAAAGCGAGAGATAAAGTTTGAAACCACCACCCGCCCTCAATCTTGAAACTCTTACAGAATATTAAAACGACTGTGCGCGGCGCTAAAGCAAGAACCACATGTTGAAAAAGAACCGCCCTAAATCCGTGAAACTCTTGCAAATGTTTCAAACGAATGTGCGCGGCGCTCAGGCGAGAGATACATGTTGAAAACCACCCGCACTCAATCCGTGAAACTCTTTCAAAATCTAAACACCCATGTGCGCGGCGCCGAGGCGAGAACCACATGTTGAAAATGACTCGCCCTCAATCCGTGAAACTCTTGTTTTCTTTCAAAACGAATGTGCGCGGCGCTAAGGCGAGAGCCACACTTTGAAAACGACCCGCCCTCCATCCGTGAAACTGCTGTCACTTCTTAAGCTTCAGACTCATAATTGGTGAGGAAATCTCAGGCGAAACGCCCGGCCCGCCCTAAAAACTGGCCTCGGGGTGCGACAGAGAGGAGTTATCTACAAGATCTATAAGGAGAATGGAGGAGGAGGAGGAGGAGCAGGAGGAGGGGGAGGAGCAGGAGGCGGAGGAAAAAGGTGCGAGGTCCTGAGATCGATCTAAGTCCACCGAAGAGAACCCGAACTTCCATCCTCTGGCGGGTCTACTGCCTCCTCCGGTTCCTCCCGTTCCTCCTCTTCCTCCTCCTCCTCCTTCTCCTCCTCCTCCTCCTCCGTATGCCGCCCTGATCTTCGTCATTCATCCGGGCCAGAGTGAATGTGGCCAGAGGGCCGCACCACATCGCCGATGCACCAGCGACATCAGGATGAAGAAGACTTGCCTCCAAATTGCGCCGAATCGCCGATGCGTCGGCTTTGCGGGGCGATCCTTGAACCCCATTAGCCCCAGCCCCGTCAGGAAGGCATGGAACCATCCTCCTCCTGCCCAACCTCATCCTCCTCCTCCTCCCCCCCTGGTCCGCCTCTACGACCAGGAACTGTTGCTTAGCGTATCGCCACGGCGACCCCGGCGACGCGCACTGCCTTGCAAATGGATAGCGTGTCGCTCCTCTCCGCGGGGCAGGAGGCTCGGGAAGGCTCGGGTCCTTACTCACCGGGAATGGGGACGTGGCAAGCGTGTCGCACCGGGGCGTGGTGGGCCAGTGTCGGCAGAGCGACACGCTGTCCAACAGTTCCCGCCCTCTATCCCCTCCAGCCTCTGCTCCTCCCTCCCACCCTCCTCCCGCCTCTGGTCGGCACGCAGACTGCTGCAGTGCCCCGAGCCCGACCGACCTCCCTGGCTGTGGCGGAGGTGGGTGGCGATAGAAGCGGCTCCTAGGTAGGACAGAAGGGGCTCTTCCCCGGGCGTGTTCCCCTACAGGGGGATTTTCGACGAAAAATAAAACATGCCCCAAAATTACCCCAAACTGGCAAACAAATATTCAAAAAATAGTCCCCGGACTATTTTTTACAATGTTTTGATTATTTTGGGGGCAGTTTGCATTTTCCGCCGAAAATCCCCCTGCAGGGGGACAGGCCAGACTTAACCCCAGGCTCAAGGAGGGCCCCGAGAAGAACGGGAAACTGTGGAAAGCCCGAGGCCTCCTTACCTGGGGACCCGTCTCCGTCATGTGCCGTCTGGCTTCCGAGCCACGATTCGGGACTTCCGCGCCCGTTCGGAACGAGTCGGGCACCCCTGGAATGCGTTTGGCGAGGGGCAGCTGGTGAGAAACATCCCGAGTTGGGGGGCAACTATAGAGGGGGGAGTGCCACAGGGAGGGGAACATCGACCTTGGATCGGCGATGCATCGCCGATAGATCGGCGATAGGCCCCCGATAGCGAATCCGCACGTTGATGCGCAGGGTGGGACTATCGGGGACCTATCGGCGATCAATTTGCGATTGGTGGGTGATACATCCCCCCTGTGCCTATTTCCCCCCCTCGCTGCCCCTGACGAACATGGAAAACACCCAGAACCGCAGGAAAACCGCCTGAAACTTCCGTCGTCGGCGTCATCGTCGGCGTCGTCGACACCGCCGCCGCCGGCTGGCGAAGCCGCCGCTGCCGCCCGCACAAGAATAAACAACTGCACAATCATGAACTGGCGGCGCTCCACGCGGCTTTCTTGGAGCTGCGCCGTGCGGAGCACCGGCAGTTTCTGTTTATGATGCCGTCTTTTCTTCTTCGAGCCCGGCGCGGCGCGAGCGCGCGCCTGAAGTCAGGCACGCAGTCCGGCGTGACTGGCGGGGGGAAGCTGGAGCGCGCCTGCGCGCCGACGGGAGTCGGGCGGCGTCGCCCTCGTCGTCGCGCTCGCTCTCGCTGTCGCCGATGTCGTCGCCGTTGTCGTGGTGGTCGTCGTCGCCCTCGTCGCCGCCGTCGCCGCAGACGTCCAACGTCGTCGTATTCGCCGTCGTCGTCGTGCCGGTGTGCGCGGAGGGCGAGGGGGGACGTCGTCGGACGTAGGGAGGGGAGGAGGTGATGGGAAGGAAACGGAGGAAGAAGAGAAGGAGCAAGGCAGGTGGAGGACAAGGAGCATGAGGAAGGGTGGGTCATTGTCGTCGTGGTCGTCGTGGTCGTGATCGTAGTCGTGGTCGTGGTCGTCGTCCTCGTCGCCCTTTTCGTCGTCACCGTCGTCCTGTGAGATGAAGGAGCAGGAGGAGGCGGAGGAACGCAGAGGGCGGAGGGGAGGGAGGATGGAACAGCGAGGCCCGCACCAAACCAGAAAGTAAATGATACCGTCGCAGGATGGAACGAGCATTGTCGGGGTCGCGGCGAAACGTGAGGAAGTGGAGGCAAATCGGGAGGGAGAGGTAGACGGTGATGAGGAGAGAAAAGGGACGACGATGCAGAACAGGACAGCGAAGACGAAAAGCTGCATCGACGCGCCCTGATCGCATGGTTCGATTCTCTAAACCCGATCGAAGAGAAGCGCGACGACGGCGACGACGGCGACAGCGTCGGCGAAAACGACGGCGACGGCCACGACGCCGCCGTCTTCCCCAGCGACACCGCCGCCGGAGACGACGGGCGACGGCGATGGCGTCTCGTCGTGCCAGCGTCGCGCCGTGTCGGCGTGGGGTCGGGCTGGCGGCGAACACGACGGCGCCGGAGACGACGGCGCTGCCGCCGGCGCCGCTGCCGTTGGCGACGACGGGCGACGGGCCCACCAGCCCCTTCAAAGTTTGCAAGCATGCCGAGCAGGCCAAATAGTCAGTTACATATGAGAGGGTGGTGGGCGACGGGCGACGGGCGACGGCGACGGCGCTCGACAGAAGACCCCTTGAGACAATCGAGTAGGGTCGAGGATGTTGGAGAAGAATCGAGGAGGCGGAGGATCGAGGAGGAGCAGGAGGAGGAGGAGGCGGAGGAGGAGGAGGAGCAGGAGAGGAGGAGGAGGAGAGCAGGAGGAGCAGGAGGAGAGGAGGAGAAGGAGGAGGAGCACGAGGAGGAGGAGGGAGAAGCAGGAGGAGGAGAAGAGGAGGCGGAGGAGGAGGAGAGGAGGGGAGGAGGAGGAGGAGGAGGAGGAGGAGGGAGGAGTAGCAGGAGGAGGAGCAGGAGGAGGGAGCAGGAGGAGGAGTAGCAGAAGGAGGAGGAGCGGACGGGAGGAGGAGAAGATGAGCAGGAGGAGGAGGAGAGGAGGAGGAGGAGGAGGAGAAAAGGGGAGGAGGAGAGGAGGAGGAGGAGGAGGAGGAGGAGGAGGAGACAGGAGCAGAGAGGAGGAGAGAGGATCAGAGAGGAGAGAGGAGGAGAGAGGAGAGAGGAGACAGGAGGAGACTGGAGGAGACAGGAGGAAACAGGAGGCGAGATGCTGAGAGAGGAGGAGAGAGGAGGAGACAGGAGGAGAGAGGAGGCGAGAGGAGGAGGAGGAGGAGACAGGGGACAGGAGGAGACAGGAAGAGACAGGAGGAGACGGAGGAGACAGGAGGAGACAGGAGGAGACAGAGACAGGAGGAGGAGGAGGAGGAGGAGGAGGAGGAGGAGGAGGAGGAGGAGGAGCATCGAGGACGTTCCAGCCGCCGTCGCGGCAGCGGCGGCGTGGAGTCGAGCCGGCGGCGGGCGCCACAGAGGCGCAGGCGGAGACGAGGCGCGCCTCCTCGCTCAGGGCGGCACGGCCCGCCTCCTCGGCGGCGTCCACGCGGTCCTCCGCCCGATGGGGGCTGAGGGGAGGAGAGACACTAGGAGGAGGAGGAGGAGGAGGAGGAGGAGGAGGAGGAGGAGGAGGATGAGGAG